AAATACTTTATTTGACATACAAGTTAAGCGCATACATGAATATAAAAGGCAACTGCTGAATATCTTGGGTGCAATTTATCGATACAAGAAGTTAAAGGTATAAAATACTCCTTAGCTACATTCCATTATATTGCCAAACAAATAAGTGATGCATGAGTTGGGCGTCGAAAGGGCGTCGAAAACATCGTATATTTAATAGCATCTGTAGTCATATCTGAGTTTTGATTATAGCCAAGAATTTATCATTTTCTTCTAAAATTGCTCATTATATATACATATATATATATATAGGTTGCCTGCTTATTGTGCTGGTACCATTTCACCAGTAGTGGAATATGAATGTTTAATTAAGTGGTCTTTGATTTTTACTCCTTCAATATATACACCCAGTTTGAGCAAGTAATGTTTTTTGTTTCAGATTGTTTCTTTATTTTTTTAACACCCAATAAATAGTATTGTAGTCATTTTACTGGACTTTTTTTTTGCAGGAATTGAGTCCTGAAGAACGGAAGAAAACCACTCCACGGACTATTATGATTGGAGGAAAAGCATTTGCTACATATACAAATGCCAAGCGGATAGTCAAGCTGGTAAATGATGTTGGTGCAGTTGTCAACACTGATCCTGAGATCAATAGCTACTTGAAGGTATATATTTTGAAGTGGGCTCTTAGATTTTCATCTTCATGCATGATTTTGTTAGTTCTCTAGTGACTTGAATGTTCAATTGGTGCTAAAATTGTTGCATTCAATTCTCTTAGATTTTATAACATGAGGGAATAAGTTAGAAAGCAAGAAAGGAGGTATCAAGGACTTCAGTATTATTGTTATTCTGAACTTTTCCTCTGGATTTAGATTGCTTACCGTCGTGTCTCTTTTTTCTTATGTGCTTATTATGATGTTTTAGCTATTTCGCTCATCGAGTAGGCATTTTTTGTGGTTTTAGATTTGTATGTTTTAAATGTGGTTGCTCTTGCTGAGAATTATTATTAATTTCTATAAATTTATTCTCGTATATGGAGATATTTCTTTAGAATTAAAATCTACAAATGTGTAGCGTTATCGGATGGTACACCTTTCAAACACACGAACAGAAGATGAAAAAAGAGAGTTCTTATAAAACCATGTCTAAATGATTACCCACGGTGAGCCTTAATGGCTTCTTAAAGCATTTACTTTTGTTTAACTCTGCTGTCTCGGCAATATTTTCAGGTTGTATTTGTTCCAAATTACAATGTGTCTGTGGCAGAGAAGCTTATTCCAGGAAGTGAATTATCACAGCATATCAGCACTGCTGGCATGGAGGCTAGTGGCACTAGCAACATGAAGTTTGCCCTTAATGGCTGTCTCATAATAGGAACATTGGATGGGGCTAACGTTGAAATCAGAGAGGAAATTGGAGAGGAGAACTTTTTCCTATTTGGTGCAACAGCAGATGATGTCCCTAGGCTCCGGAAAGAGAGAGAGCTTGGACAGGTGTGTGCCTTCCTCTTTTATGTTCAGTATATACATATTTTTTTTCCTTGTGAAAATTGGTTCACGTAATATGTCATCTAACTATCAAAATCACGATTCAATTATTTCGTTCTTCACTTTGCTAGTATTATTCATATTAACTTTTATTTTTCGTTCTTCAATTTAAATGTTCAAGTAAACTAGATTTGTTTTAACAAAAATTTCAACATTGAAATAAAGTCCAAGTCAATTCTCTAGTCTTGAAAAAAAAAGGATTTGATGAAGTCTACATGAATTTTTCTAATACGTCAGTTTTTATGCTTCAATTAATTAATTATTTTTTATTTTCTTGATGCAAATATTCTTGCGCTTGATGAAAGATTTTTTTTAAAAGGAAAGACTTGGACACTCCAAATTATGAAACCTAAAACTTGTATTACACTGATGCTCTACTCGTAATGGTCTTCATGCTTCCTATAAAGACTCTGTGCTTGATTGAGGACCTTAATGAAAGTGGACAGTGGGTTTGCTACCAAAGGACTTGGGAGGTGGACCTCAAATCCATTGTGTTTCCAAATTCAAATCACTGGTCCTTATTCTTACTTCTTACCCGCTCCTGACCTAGGAATGGAATCAAAATTTAATGAAAGTGCCTTCAAAGCATGACTTTGGATTGTATGATATGCTCTGTTGCTTACATCTTTCTGGAAAACTCCGAGTAACAAAATTTTTAAATTCACAACAAGGTTCTTTTAAAGAGTTTCTACCTTTTGTACTTGAATTAATTTTCTATTTTTACTATGCAGTTTAAGCCAGACCCTCGATTTGAAGAGGCCAAACAGTTTATAAGGAGTGGTGCATTTGGAAACTATGACTATGGCCCTCTCTTGGATTCCCTTGAGGGAAACTCTGGCTATGGTCGTGGTGATTACTTTCTTGTTGGTCACGACTTCTCAACCTACATGGATGCACAGGCAAAAGTAGATGAAGCTTACAAGTAAGAAAACTGATTCTTTTAGATTTTCTCCTCCCTTGGTTGGTTGTTTAGTTTAACTGATGCTGCTAAATTATCTCATCCAATTTTGATTATTAATTGTTTGTCATTTAGATATTTTAGTTTAACGGATAAACCATTCATGTAAGCATAAGGGCAATGGTTGTTTCTCAATCATGGAAATTTTGTCTAAATGATTATGTTTTCTCTGAGCGTCCTACTGCTGGATTGGTTTGCTACTTCAGTGAGTCAAAGAGTTTGAGTGAACGCAGATAGGGAGAGATTTGTTCCTTGATAGCCAGTTAGGCACTATTTCTTTCTCCATAGCACAGATAATCAAGGTATTCTTATTATACAATATGATACACTCAGCCTCTCTACTACATTACTAGTTAAGCATCATGTCCTATATATTTAATTATAATTGACTAAGCCTCCATATTTTGAGTCTTTGTTACTTCCAATTTTCGCAAAATTCATCGAAATCATGCCTTCAACAATAACAATCAAGTCTAATAGCTTTTGGGTTTGTTCTACTGCTTGTTGGTTAAACATCAATCTTAAACCATCCAATCAGCAAAAACAAGATTTGCCTAACAACATATGCGTTCTGCAGGGACCGACAGTTGTGGCTGAAGATGTCGATATTGAGCACAGCTGGGAGTGGAAAATTCAGCAGTGACCGAACAATTGCACAGTATGCCAAAGAAATATGGAATATACAGGAGTGCCGTGTACCATAGTTTCAACAGCCTAGGTTCACCTTGTCTTAAATTAAAGGAAATAAGAATTCTGTACGACGCTAGGTATCTCAATTATCTCTCTGCTTTAATTCACTACTTGCTGGTACTAGTAACACTAGCTGAGTACAGTATAAAACTTTTCATGTAATATCATATTGTGATGCAATTACCTGTTCAATTAATAAAATTTCCGTTTGTTAGTGAAGCTTTTTTAGATTAGAGGTTGGCTTGTAGATTTCGTGGTGTCTACTAAAAACGTCATGGAGAATATATTGTTGTTGTACCTCGTACCTCACCGTGAACAGGTGTACATACTTGACCTTCTAGTAGATCAAGGAGAGCACTAATCTACTTCTTTATATGTTCCTGATGGTTTTGAATTCCATTTGATAAACTGCACTGCAAAACTCTTACTAGGCCACTGATGACTTATGTAAGATTGCAAATCATTTTTTGAACAATGATCCACACTTAAACTTAACAAGGTTGTCGGTAGCGTTAGTGCACTATCCTCAAGGTTTCATCTTTGATTGGCTTGCTAAAAGGAGTATGGTCCATAAGTTGGTAAGAATTTTTTGCTTCTTAGACTACACTTTGCATATTGATATGATGTATTGTTGACTTATCGTACAATTGATCTCTGTCGCAGTTGAAACTACTCAGACACGAGATGGTTTTTCATTTGACAAATCAATTGATTGATTGATCCGATGATTGGATGTGTTGAGCGATAGATCAGCTACCAAGCTTACCAAGCCGGTGAGAGAAATAATTTTGTTTAGTTTTAAATTTTAATCATTACGTAATTATTTTTTATACACAAAGCATTAAAATAATATATATCTGAATCGAAGATTGATTAAATTGATAGATGGAGTCTACGGCTAATACCTGCATTATTAGTAAAAATCATGAGCTTAGATTCTCAACTTTTGGCAGCCGACTGGGTTTTTCAAATTTGGTGCCTCAACTCTCAGAGGTAAGATTGAAGTGGAAGGGTGGGCTGTCATGTCATGCCTGGCTAATGGTACTCATCATACTACAATTTCTTGTGTTTTTTTGAATCAGATTAGTTGTTTCCATCATGTTAATTGCTATAATTAAGGAACTCTTTAACAAGAGTTGTTAATCTAAATTTTATCTGGCATGACCAAGGAAAAACTATTTGGGGGAAAGTAGGGGATGACTTATTTAAATGAACAAAGTTCTTAAAGGGAAAAAAAAAAAAAAAAAAAAAAAAAAAAAACTATGAACTATTACTGTTCACAAGAAGTTTATGCTCTTCCAAGGGAAAGAGTGCAGGAGAAAACTAATTCTTCATGGTGCCATGTGTTGTGTGCCTCGCATGCTAATTTTAAAATTATTGTGGATATATATAATTTCTTGTTTCTTATTTTCCAAAATTTTAAATTAAAAATATAAAACTCTTGTCGTTTATGTTTTGAAAAAAAAAAAAAAAAAATCTAGAAACATGAGTTACCAAACACTTCTGCTTCTTACAAAATTAGAAACAATAAATAAGCACTAGAAATAGAAATAGAGACATTACCAAATGGGAGCACTATTTTATGGGAATGAAAATTTACGGAAAGTTAACTTTTTGTATATTTGGCGTTCAACAAATGTTTAAATCATCATAACACGTGAATTGTTTTGTTTATTTTTATCTAAATACAGAAATTACTTGTTAAAGATATATATAATATATATATATATATATTATTTATTTATTTATTTTTATTTTTTTTAACGTGAATCATAAAACATTGTACGCAGATTCTGTCACTTCCCAAGTTATGGCCGTGAATTATGAGAATTGAGCTGGCTCATGGCTTCCCTTTCAATGACATGCTCCAATATAATTGGTCAACGGTCATCTCAGTGACGGGCAAAGGTACCTTTCCTTTTTTCTTTTCTCTGTGACTGGCAAAGGTGGATACATTATTTCATAAGCTTTGCAGGTATAATTTCACGTCTAATTTCTTGCCTTGGTGAGGAAAAAATAGCTAAATTTGGGGCCTAAAACAGAAGGATTAAAACATCGATGCTACACTTTTCTTACTAAATAAAATCTTAATGCCAAACCCTAAATTCTTGTAATAACTACGTTAAGGTAGAATAAAGACTTGTTATGGAGTTTAGAAAAGTCCCCTATGGAAAGAGCATTTCCAAATTGGAGGGCATGTGGCTAGACTTTAGCTTAAAGCACATTAAGGTGAAGGCCTAGCAATGTCGAAGTTAAAAACTAACCTAATATGAGCTTGACTACCAATGTAAAGACAATACAGCTAGCATCCCTTCTTGAAAGAGAGATTCAAATTACCCTGAGGTATTGCGGTCAAAACTCAAGCTTATTCCAAACCAAACCAAAAAAAAAAAAAAAAAAAAATTGAATGCTCACTGGCTTGCACTTTGGAGTATACGTGTTGATTATCATATTGGTGTGAGGTTTTATAGTAAGTATATTAGACAGATGTCTTCAAACTTTGANAAAAAAAAAAAAAAAAAAAAAAAAAATTGAATGCTCACTGGCTTGCACTTTGGAGTATACGTGTTGATTATCATATTGGTGTGAGGTTTTATAGTAAGTATATTAGACAGATGTCTTCAAACTTTGAGCTCTCTAGAATCTCATATCAACAAAATAGATTATTTTTTTTACATCTCTAGATTTTATTAAAGTATTTAAGTGACTTAAATCAAAACCGGTGAACATATCATTTTACCAACTTATCACATTCTAGATATACCTACTCACCCTTTCTAGGATCACATATATCTACCAGAAAAGGTCACATATATCTACAAGATATAGAGGGAAAGAAGGGAGAGAAATAGGAAAAGAAAGATTCGTTTATATCTATAAATTTTACTTGAGTATTCCAACGTGACATGGCAAACATATCATTTCACCAACTCTATAGTTGATCAAATTATATTATCGTGTGTCTAAAATACACGTCTTGATCTTCAACATCTAGTTCATTGCACTACAAATCTATGAATTTGAATGCTTTTTTCGGTAGATCGTAATTTCCACATGCCGTTTGTTTTTTATCATGGTCATGCATAGTCCATAGAATAGAAGAGATGGAAATGGCAGCATCTTGCCTCTTGTGAGATAACCAATAATTTAGCGACAAAATGAAAATGACACTTTTTAGTAGAGGTCTTGTCAACTCCAGGTTGTGAGGGTTGTCGCCAAGTTAGTTAGTAGGTACGTGTGTTGTCTTGTCTTGATTGGACATTGTCATTTAATTCAACTTCTTACCACTTAAAAGGTCTAATCCCTTCATCAGTATACTTAATTTTAGCCACAAGGTAGTTTGGGGTTCATAACACAGCTTTGGTCTATTTATGAACTGTAACTTAGATTGAAATTTCCTTATTTATTTTGGTTAACTTGTATATATATATATATATATTTTTTTTTTTTGAATTTTTAAGATTATATCTAATAGATATTTTTATTTTAAAAAATATTTAATACATTTTTCTTTAGGTTGGTGTTTATTGAATTAAACATTAAAATGGTTCTGAAGATCACTAGTTTCGAAAATCATGTTTCAATTTCTTTTGGTTACTTTTACCTAATTATTTTTATGATGGCCATAATTTATAATTTAACCCCTTTAACTCTAAAGTTGTATTTATCTCTCCCTTTCTTAGCTTTTATTTATTTATTTATATTTATCTCTCCCTTTCTTAGCTTTTAGTTATTTATTTATATTTATATCTCCCTTTCTTAGCTTTTATTTATTTATTTATATTTATCTCTCCCTTTCTTAGCTTTTATTTATTTATTTATATTTATATCTCCCTTTCTTAGCTTTTATTTATTTATTTATATTTATATCTCCCTTTCTTAGCTTTTATTTATTTATTTATATTTATCTCTCCCTTTCTTAGCTTTTATTTATTTATTTATATTTATCTCTCCCTTTCTTAGCTTTTATTTATTTATTTATATTTATCTCTCCCTTTCTTAGCTATGCATACATTGTAGGAAGAAAGGTTCTGAACCAAAGTCGGGAAGTAGAGTAAATTCACTGAATTTTTTGTTATTATTTTATCCACAGGACAGACAAACCCTTGGCTAAATCATCTGCCAACCCCAAGCCTAAAATTCCATCCTTAATGATTTATTGTTATATTATTATACTAACAGCCTTTATTTAAATTTTCCTTTGTGATAATATAGTTTCAAACTTCCTCATCACAGCCAATTTTTTATGACTTTTAAACAAAATGTTTTAAATTTTGTAAGATACAAAAACATGACATTAGAGAAAATAACATAACAAAAGGTATTAGAAATCTTAAATAGTACTTTTGGTACTTCAATTAACTAAACTAATAAAAACACATGTTTAGGACTGCTACGACATCGTAAATAAGCTAAGGCAATATTAGTCTGTATGAGCTTTGAATTATAAGCAACATTCCAAGTGCATTATGCCAAAAGATGGAAGCCAAAGTGATAGAAAAGTAATTGGGAAAATGCGAGTTTTATCTCCTTGTCTACGAGGCTAATGGCTACTTATATGGCTACAAAAAACATAAAACACATCAAGTTGGGATTTTTGATTCATAACATCAACGCCCTCCTTTCCCACCTTCAAAAGAATGGGCCATTGACTTCCCTCCAATCCAAACCAATCCAATTTGAAGAGGTTTATTCAAATGAGTGAGGCCATAACTACGTGTAGGGGCCTCTTCCAACGCTATGTTTTACAACTTCAACTTAACACGTGGCTTCCCATATTGCAACATTCAAGTGGTTCCTTTTTTGGATAATTCTTTTAAATATCTTTTGATATTATATATTTCTAAATGCTATTTTTTTTTTTCCTTTCCTACTTGTGGTTGAAATTTTATTAGAAAAAAAACTATACTTCTTTAATATTTTCTTTAATCTTTGAAATTTTAATATTCGTCTATTATACTCTTGAAAGTTTCCTTGGGTAGTATTTTGATCCTCCTCTATTTTTTATATTAATTACAAACATATCATGTCACTATTTTTAATAATTATCTTTGACATTATAATAAAATAATAATTAATTCTCTAAAAATAAAAATTAAAAATTAAAATGACTATTTAGATGCCAATTCACATTTGTACTCTTCCTCTTCCTCTTGAGTTTCTTTTAACTCAAAATATAGTCGAAAATATATTTCTAAATGATTTAAATAATATTCAATTTGGGTGTGGTATATTAATTATAATTAACTTAATCATTTTAGTTTATGGTTTTCTTTTCAAATTTTTATTAGTTGAATTTTGTCATTCAAAAGATATAACTACTGGATACGGAAAAATTTGACAACTAATCATATCCTCTTTTTACATGCTTTCATCTTAGATAGGTTTTTACTATTTCATATTAGGTCAGTATAAAGGTGTATGACGGTTCACAAGTAATTTTCTAATTGAAGTTTTTGTTTTAAAATTGATTGATTTAGAAGTTTAGTGTTTGAATTTTTAGATTGTGCCCAATAGATCCTTCAATTTTTTAAAAAGTTGTTAATAAGTTCTTAAACCATTAATTTTGTGTAAATATAGGATCTTGAGTTTTAATGATTTTTTATCGTAGCCTTCCATTTTAATTTTTGTATCTAACAAATTCATAAATACTAATCTAATAATTCATTGTTCTATTCAATATTTCTTTTTAAAAAATCACTAATTTATCTTCTAAATATAAAATTAAAAATTGATATTTCTTAGATAAGAGACGAAATGAGAGATAGAAAGAGGGCAAATGGAAGGGTATAAGAAGAATGGGCTAGGGCGTGACCTTGGCCCCTTACTGCATGTGCATCCGCCATACGCCACATTCATTAAAGCCACAAATTAAATAAATTAATAATAATAATTAAAAAAATGAACTTCAAACATTAAAACCAAAATTAAAAAAAAAAGTGATTATAAGTAAAAGTTGAATTTTGATTCAATTATTTATGTCCATTATGATTGTCTTACACTCAATTTTCTTCACTTATCTAACAAGAGCACGTGATATACCATCTCTCCATTCATATCCCTCTCTCCAATTGCACGAGTTATTATTATTATTTATTTTATTTTTTTAATTTTTGATAAGATCTATAACCTATGATAATTAATACTCGCCCACTCTATTAAAATTAATTAATAATAATAAATTACAAGATACTCCGTAGAAATTACTACACTCATATTTATAATAGAAGCTAACAATTTAATTCTAAAATATTTAAATATTTATTTTTAACGTACCTAAATATCTTTATTTATAAAAATATATGTTGAGCTAATTATGATTTTTAATACTTCTTTCAACTGTCGTCCTCATTCATTGTACCATATTAAGCTGATATCGAAATTACTCATATGTGGAGCTCTCGAATTCTATATTTTACTAAAATTTAAAAGAAATAATCACTTTTTAAAAAGCCATCGAGGATAATTTTGTAGGGACCAGATTGATGAGTTGGGTTTTGTCATTTTTCTTTTATATGCATTGATAAATTGAAGTATAGAAATTAATCGAGGCTCACAAATTTTTCTCTAGAGCTCGTAAACAACTTTTTCTTTAATCGAGACTCGACTCGTTCTATAGAGTTCTCGAATAAAGTACACCATTGAGTCACTTTAACTACACTTTCGAGACCCACAACTTCTATGTTCAACACTTCAGAATTCTATACTCGACTTGTTTTCTAGAGCTTTCGAACAAATTACACCATTTATTCGACACTTGAGCCTACAACATTTTTGTTTAATGCATGACTAAGTTAAGAGTATGACTATGATACCATATTATGAACTACGACTCTATACAATTGTATGATATTGTACACTTTGAGTAACATGGTTAAAGCTAATAAAAATATTATGTTCTTACTTATAAACTCATGATCTTATTTCTCCTAATAATCTTCAACCACAAGAACATAATATTAGTAATTATTTTGAAGTTGAAAATTTAAATTTTCATACTCGAAATGCATATCGGTTCCTTCTAGTTTAACAATTATAAGGTAGAATCGAACCATCTAATCTTTAACGAGATAGTAATTTGTGTTTTTTCTCATAAGTTAGGTTGGAATTGATATAAATTATGGAGGAGATGACTAAGAACGATTTCTCCCTTTCATGAATCCAACAGCTTTCCCTTTGTCTTTTTAGCAAACTTGTTCACTCTATCTATATATCATCATCTTCTTCGCAAATCAATTTATAATTGCACTGGGCGCCACTTTCCGGTTCCTCTGTTCATCGTCCTTCTCGCTCTTTCTCTCTCTCTCAAATTTCATATCTACACTTTCTCTCTCCGGATTTCACAGACTGATCGAATCATGTTCCCGAATCTCCTGCTCTGTTCTCATCGTCTCGACAATTCCAGGTAAACTCTCTTCACTTTACGCTGAAATTGCATCTAAATTGTCGCTTCTTTGGATCGAAGAGTTAGGGCTGCGTTTCGATCGGTTCTGTATTTTGATTTCGTAAGTAGGAAAAGTGATTTGAATTAGAAGGAAAAAGAGAAGGCGATCGGAATAGAAGTTAATTGTAATGGCGATAATTTAATTACAGGAAGAAGAAGAAGAAGAATGAAGCTGTGACGAAGAACAGCGAGTTTGAAGATGAACAGATGCAATCGACTTTTTCGGTTCCTTTTCAGCGAGATCCATTGGAGAAGCAATCCAAGTTTTCTCTGCGTTCTTCTGATTACTCCTGCTGCAGGTCCTTTCCGTCTCTCTCACTTTGCTTTCATAATCCTCCCTTCACTTTTTTTTCCCTCCCAAATATCTCATTTGAATTCCATCTGTCTTCGTTATTTTCCATGTTTATTTTTTCCATGTTCATTTGAATTTCAAACCAAATTTAAACTCTTAGATTGACGAGTAATATATATTTTTTTTTTCGAAAAAAAGTGTTAAATAAAAAATTTCTTGGAGCTCATGCAATATTCCTATATTAAAACAAAGAGGTTTGAAAAAAAAAAAAAAATTGAATGCAGCTCAAGCAAACTCTACAATAATTAGTCTAATCGACTGGTCACTCGTTACTCTGTTCGATTGAATTTGTTGGCTCTGTGTCCACCAAGAGTAGGTTACCTTTGTCGAATGACTGACCAAGCTGCTAAAGTAGCTAAAGTGATAATGAAGTCTGCCATATAATAAATAAAAATGGAAATCAATTTTTACCCCTAATTTGTATCACTTCAAGTTAATAATTATATTCATGTGTATTATAAAATTTAATAAATAATTCAATTTAAATTCAGTGATTTATAATTATATTCCTAAAATAAAATAACTTAAAAATATTCTTCTTCCCAGGTTGAATTAAAATAGTTATAAAAATAAAAACATAATTTTTTTCTAATAAAAAGCGTACTTAATTTAATTTAATTTTAATATAAAAAGAATAGATGTTTATTGAAACAGTTTGATTATTATCCTTACATGACCAAAATATATAACAAAAGAAGAATTTTTTAAATACATTAATTTTTTTGTAAATATTAGATGAGTTTTTAAATTTTTAAAGAGAATATATGATTTAATGAATAAATTTATGATTTATTTTTGAGATGGTTATTGAGTTATTTAGGAGTAATTCTTTTTTTTAAAAACAGATATATAATAAAAGATATTTAAAAAGTTGAAAAAGAATTAATGTAAGAATTGAGATTGAGCAAATTTAAAAAAATAAAAAAATAATGAATTCTCTATCTATTTTGTTTCTTTTACTATTTTTATTTATTTATTTATTTATTTTTGGGATAATTTAGAATATATGGTGTGATTAAGGAAGGCGAGGTGAAAGTGGAACCCCCTTGTGGTCTCTTTCTTGATTTGTCAGAAGTCTTCATTATCAGTCGATCGTCTCTTCACTTCCTCTCTTCAGCTTCTCACTCTCATTTCTTCTTCCTTCTCTTCCAGAGCCTCCACCTTCAAGGAGAAGAAGAAGGGGGAAATGGCGAATAAGGTCTCCAATTTCTCCGATCTGATTCAACGAGTTACAGCCTCTTGTCTGCTTCATCCACTCGCCGCCGTCCGTCAGGATTCCGGGGAGATCGCCAGCAAGAATCGCCAAGGACATGAGGCGAGTTACGATTCCGATGAGCTCGAGGAGGATGAGGAGGCGGGGGAAGTAGAGGACGAGTGGAGTAAGGAAGGGATTAGGGCACGGGAAGTGCCGAAGGGAGAGTTAGTCGGAGTGGAGAAACTAGTGGAGATGGAGATTCTGATGAACGAAGTCTTCGATGTCGTTTCGACTATGAAAAAGGCGTATGTGAACCTGCAAGATGCGCATTGTCCTTGGGACCCGGAGAGGATGAGAGTGGCCGATGTTGCAGTTGTGGCGGAGTTGCGGAGGCTAGGGGTTTTAAGAGAAAGGTTTCGCCGGAGTTTGATTGTTCATGGCTCTGGAGGCGGACGCGGGCGTAGGAGAAACGGCGTAGTCGGGATGCTGAAGGAGATTGTTGCTCCGTACGAGGCGGCCATGGAGGAACTGAAGAAGGAGGTGAAGTCCAGAGATGTGGAGGTTGAGAATCTCAAGGAGAAGCTTAAGAACTCTATGGCACTTGCCAAGGCCAGCAGCTATGGCGGCAAGAAGGGAAGATCCCAGTCAAAGAGGAAGGTCAGCTGCAGTTTTGGTCAAGGTAATTCCTATTCCTGATGCCTAATTTCATAAACATTATGCAGCTCTCTCTGTTAAGATTCTTGATCTACAATAACTCGCATTGCATTATCATAATGATTTAATGGTGCATTAATGGAGCTAGGTTTAAGATTCTGAAGTGACTTGCTTGATTGTGCTATACTGGTGGGATCATTCAATAGGAAGAACTTAGCAACGAAGCCTATTCATAGTTTAGGGAGTTCAAGAATTTTTTTTACCCTTCTTAGTTAATTGAATCTTTAGGGCCAAAGATCTCACAGCTGACGCCTTAATTTATGGCAGTGGCGGCATCCCCTGTCCCTGAGCTGTTCGAGGCCACAATGAGCCAAGTCAAGGAAGCCTCCAAAGCCTTCACGTCTCTCTTGCTCTCTCTTATGCGCTCTGCTCATTGGGACATTGCAGCTGCAGTCCGTTCTATAGAATCAGCTATCTCTGAGAGTGACAATGCCTACCTTGATACTGTTGCCACCACTCACCATGCCAAGTTTGCTCTCGAATCTTACATTTCCCGCAAGATTTTCCATGGTTTCGATCATGAAACTTTCTACATGGATGGCAGCCTCTCCTCGCTGCTAAACCCCGAGCAGTTTCGGCGGGATTGTTTCACCCAATATCGTGACATGAAGGCCATGGACCCTGCTGAACTTCTCGGAATCTTACCAACTTGCCATTTTGGAAAATTCTGCTCCAAGAAGTATCTTTCCATTGTTCACCCCAAAATGGAGGAGTCCTTGTTTGGAGACTTGGAGCAGCGTCGACAAATCTTGGCCGGTAACCACCCTAGGAGTCAATTCTATGCTGAGTTCTTGGGGCTGTCCAAGGCAGTCTGGCTGCTTCATTTGCTAGCATTCTCACTTGACCCAGCTCCGAGCCAATTCGAGGCAAGTAGAGGAGCCGAATTCCACACGCAGTACATGGAAAGTGTGGTGAAATTACCATGTGGACGGGCAACAGCTTCTTTGACTGTGGGATTTCCAGTTAGTCCTGGGTTTAAGTTGGGTAATGGTTCAGTCATCAAAGCCAGGGTTTTCTTAGTTTCCAGGAGTTAAGGTATTTTTGTGGCATCACTTACTGTCTTCGCTTGCCCAGAACTTACATGTTATGCATGCATCATAGTCTGGCTAAAAGAAAAACAAGGATAATAATTGACATGGACGGTAAAAAAAGCAATCATCATTGCCCCACCTTTTCCTTTTGAGTTGCAAGTTTGAATCTCCCTTTCTTATCTGTAATGTAGTAATTAAAAGAATGACTTTTGTTGGTCATTCATGTTTATAGACTTGTATGGTTATGCTATATTGCGACAATATATATGAAACAAGCTCTCTCTTCCCTGATAAGATCATAGAACATTTTTAGTGCCATTTAGACTATCGGAGACCCTAAACCATCGACTTTTAAGATAGTAATGTATACTTTATTGCTTGAATCGACGGTCTAAAAACATTAAACACCCCACAACTAACTAAAACCTGATTGGGTGTGTGAGAGAAGATGGTCCATTTGCTAAATGGATCCTATAGATGTCAAGATAATTCTAAGGATACAGGAGTTTGGCTAAAACTCTCTTCTTCAATGATTACCAATAAAAATAATATTATATATAAAATTGAATCTGAGAAAAACGTGGGGGGCCATCATAGAAGGAGAAAACAGTCGATCCTTGGTCAGATTTCGGGCAAAAGATTCATAGGCCGAAAAGCTTCTTTGCCTGCCACAGATCAAACAAATGCATAAAAGGACTGACAGTGTTCTAGCTCAGATTGTCTGGCATGACTCATGAGTACCACATTGAGTATAGTAGTCAACAAAAGCAGAAGGAAAAGTTCTTAGAAAATTAAGTAAACTAAAGAAGCTTTTAGTAGAATATGTGCACAAGTTTTAAGGGATTTGTCTAAAGTTCGAGACCCATTAAGGCCATTACCCTACCCACCACCAGTGGCTTTTGTTCAAAAAAAGGGCTTTTTATAGCATATAGGAAGCTAAAAAGGCAAGCATATTCTTATAATCTATAAAATGGAAATTCCTAACAAGGAATCATTTCATTATGTGATGGTAAGCCCAGAATGTTTCCATAAATTCTAGGAAAAGTTAGAGAAGCTTTTTGGTGAGTGGGGCAGTAAGAACTAATAATTTGAAAATCTTACTTGCTCAAGAGTCAGAAACATGACCGCATTCCAAGATCCAAGTCGACCAAAATTTGGAAGAAATCCTTTATAGAAGGCAAAAGGCCCCTGTAGAAGAGTTGCACCACAATGGCATATGCTTTTAGAAGCCATTTTGATTTGAAATGGAACAAAAGTTAATACTATGCAGTGTAGCATGGTTCCTCAGAATTTTAAGATTCAGTGTTGTTTACAAGCCAGAAGTCGCTTGCTAGTAGTTTGGAAATCTAGACATACCTCATTCTGTAAGGTTTTAACGAAGCAATCAATGGTATTTTTGTAGGTGGAATCTCCCATCATTCTTGATTTGACCTGAAAGTAAAACCATAGCATCAAAGCCAACATGAACAGACTACTTGAATTGCTATAAAGCTGTAGAACAAACTTTCATTAGGATCTATCTACCTGCATCATGAAATTTTGGGGGTGATTTTACAACTTGAATAGCACAAATAGGAAGGTGAAAAGACCAGTGGAAATAGTATAACTTAGTGTGCTATATTCATCGGATCAATAATCATAGCAGTTGAAAGGTATCAATGCAGCAGAATCCGGGAAACAAGGAAAAGATTATGACTCATAATTTGCTTGGTGACTGCACAAGATGCTAGATATTATAGAAAGAAGCATAGCTTCAAAGCCTAAACAAACATTTGATCTTTAGGCTCTAGACTCTATAGCCATACACTTTCTTCGTATCTCCTCAGCTTGCGTTTGTCTTATATTGTCACAAAAGGTTCCAATTCCATCACTTCATCCTAACAATCGAAGGAAAAAGAAAAAAAACCACAGCAGTTGGTGCAGATTCGATGTGGCTCGATGAAAGGTCATTACTAGTGTAGCATTAGCATCAGACACGATTGCAATTCAAATTGACTAAATTCGATAGAGAACCATAAATAAGTTTATTAAACATTACAAAGAGAAAGATACTATAGGATTAACATCAGGTTTCAAAATGAAGAAAGAATGCCTACCACATCAACAGGGGAACCGATGCAAACCGCAAAGAAACCTGCACCTAGACCAGCTAGGAGGTGAGTAAAAATACTGTCCAGGAATCCTGGAATTTTTAGAATCATCTGCGTGAGTATGAAGTAATATATTACTAAGGTTCACACTCTAACCCAACTATAATTTGCAGAAACCCATAAGACAATTTCAAGAGACAATATTCGCATACCTGCTTCACTTGGTCATAACTTGCTAGTTCTGCGGCATTAATAATAGCATTCCTTGCTATGTTTGGACCAATTCCCGTCCACAAGGCCATCAATCCTTCCTGCATTTAAAAATATTTCAGGAAAATAACTAATTATGGGATATTAGATAGAAAAAGATATGAAGCAAGTTGAACCTAAGAACCCTCATAAACACTTCGGATATGCAAACCCATAGTTCACAAATGCTAAGATCCCCAAATCACGTTGATTTCATTCCAAATGATTGCAACTCTTGATAATTTGATCTAATAACCTTATTGAATAAGATGTTTAGATCTAAACATATCCAAGAACCTCAAAATGATAAGGAGTCATCCCATGGGAAAGTAAGATTTAGATTACCTTCTTGATCGAATATCTAAAGGCAAGAACACTTGTGTAATGATCAAGTCAAGCTTGAATGATTCTAAGCATGCAATATAAACTACATAAAATTGCAAAAAAAAAAAAAAAAAAAAAAAAAGCACAAATACTCTTTTTACTACATTTTCAAAGTCTATTTTACATAGACAACATACATGGCTTTATGTAACCTCAAAATGAAACCCTTAACCTTCTCCGAGGCATTTTAAGAGTTGTAACATTCATATTTTATTATCATAATTAGCCACTATGTAAGTAAATAAAAAGTCCTAAAATACATTAACAAAACACTATAAGTCTAGATTATCATTCACTCAAAATTTGTAACGATCCAAGAATAAATTAAGCTTGAATCTTCTATAACGTGACATGAATTGCAACTCGAGTTCATCTTGTGGTAATTTGAACAACATTTTTTTCACATCTTTCTTGAAGTTCATATTGCATGATTGAGATGTCTTGAACTAACCTGTCTTATGATAGTAAAATATGCATCTAGAGTGCCTGAGTAACGTCTAGGCACCCCAGCTGGCAATTTTCCTTCAGCTTGAAGGCGAACCTTGACAAGATCAGTTGGATTTGCCACAGAAATTGCTACGGCACCTGCCAAAATAGGAATCACAAAACTCTCAGCAGATTTGACAGGAGAAATAATTGAAGGGAGGAAGAAGAGCAATGATAACAACAAGAATATTGCAAGAACTTCAATTTGGGATAAGGAGATTGATAATGCTTATCACGATGAAAAAGGTTTAAGACCAAAGATCTACCCACCAGTAAACAAAGCAGCTAAGATCTTCTGATGTAGAGGTATATCTCCAACAAAATTGTTGCCTACTAAATATAGTTTAACCTGTCTAGTGCATAGTTCGTAGTTAGTGTGGCATATAAAAAGCAGAGTATAGTCGTTTACATCCATCACTTTGCAAAATCACTGCACTCACAGGATCATATAGCCCGATCCTTAGGCCGCCATAAATACACTGGCGATGTAATCCTGCAATAACTCCTTTCCAAAGAGCTGGTAAACCTTCTTCCTTAGCAATGGTGGCGATAGTTCCCATTAATCCCCTATATCTAGATTGACCCATCCCATCTGTGGCAGCTGCTTTCTTCTGCAGCTGAAGCCGTACTTTCGCAACGTCCAAAGGAATGGTACATAGCTACACAATTGCAAACAAAAAACTGAACTACAATAACAGTAACAACAAAACAATAATCTGCAGGCGAAGAATCCGATGAACGTAATCGAAAATTACCTCCGCAACGCAAGCGGCAAAGGCACTGCATAGAAATGTCTGAAAGAATGAGAAATCGGTCTGGGACTGAGGATCTGCCATTTCAGTACGGAAGAACAGAGCTAGAGAACGGGGATTGCAAACGGCAAGTGGAACGACCACGAGAATAATGCTCAGATGCGGTAGAGTAGTGAAATTAGGGTTGGAGATAAATAATTGAACTCGAAACGTAATATAGAAGCAAAGGTACGTCGATGAAACCGGTTAAGATGGCCACCATTGACGGCCGATCAAATCCTAATCAGCTCTTTTCTCAGCGGTAGCTGTCGTATCAAGTATTCCCTGGGTATCAAATCCGGTAATACTCTACCCTCTGAAACTCAGATTGGTATTGCAAAAGATGAAAATGACAAATCCACCGCCGGCGATAAGCTCGGGGATCGGAAGGCCCGCCACCAGCAGCTTCCTCCGACGGCGAAATGATCTTTGAACTACTTTTCGATCTGGGCGAATCGCATCACATGGCCCTCGTACTTGAAAACTGCAACACAGTAGAAGGCGGTTCTTAATTCGTATGAGCACACACACGAACATAAGAACGGACAACAATCAATTTATTAAATACTTTTTGGATTATCTGTAAATTAAACGCTTTATATTATTATTTTTCTTTTTAAATAAATATAATAATTGTGGTGTATAAAACAGGAAAATAAATCAAGCGTATTTCATCTCCACACAATTTGAATATCTTATTAAAAACTAATTTTTTTTTTTCCACTAAGATGGATCATGGGCCTAATGACAAGCCCACATGAAAATTATGGGCCGACAAAGAAGCCCACAGTGGAAATTGAGTGAAAGGAACAACTTCTTGGCCTATAATATATGGGCCTTTTATGGAACAATAGACGAAAATGAATAATGGGCCTACAGAAAAGCCCATTTTGGATAGTCGGGGAAATGGGCCTTACTTGATAGACTATTCATGGGCCTAAAACAAGAAGTAGAGACAGTGTTTAGAGGCCCAACGTAAAGCCCACAATGAGGAAACATTATCGGCCCAGGTTTAATGGGCCGAACTGAAAGCCCATAGTTGAAATACGGTGAGAATCCCGCCTCTTTTAAAAAGAGTGGCGGGAACGATAAAATTACCCGATCCGCCAAATCGAAATCACCACATTCAAATTGCGTTCCCTAATAATTGCACTATAAAATCCCAAACTCGACTTTCATAACACACTTCTTGTTCTCCCGCCGTTTCTCAAACCCTAGCCAGCTCCTGTTTCTAAAATTTCTCTAAGAAATGTTGGAGCTTCGTCTTGTTCAGGGTTCGCTCCTCAAGAAGGTCTTGGAATCGATCAAGGACTTGGTGAATGATGCCAACTTTGACTGTTCGGCCACCGGATTCTCTCTTCAGGCCATGGACTCGAGCCATGTCGCCCTGGTGGCTCTTCTCCTTCGGGCGGAGGGCTTCGAACATTATCGCTGCGATAGGAACATGTCCATGGGAATGAACTTGAACAACATGTCGAAGATGCTCAAGTGTGCCGGCAATGATGATATTATTACAATCAAGGCCGATGACGGCAGTGATACTGTCACTTTCATGTTCGAAAGCCCCAGTATGATCTAGTTCTTTCGTCTTTTTATTTTCTTATTTAAATCATTCTAGACTCTTGTGCCTCACCTTTGTAGTTATTTAGTCCTTGGTTTATCAGTCTACGTCTCCTCATCTATTTGAAGCTTTTTTACGAGTTAATTTTAAGATATCGTAGTTGCATATCAAGCTTCTTTTCGACTCGCAAATCTAGCATGATCATCTGGTTAATCTTAAGTGGTTGTTTAATAGGAAGAATATCTAAAATTGAATTTTATATCTGCGAATAGTTACACGCTTACTGAGTTCATGATCTTCATACTTTGTCTAACGTTTTGTCGATCCTCTAAAAAGAACGTCTCTGACTTATTGAGTTCATGATCTTTACATTTGATCTAACGTTTTCTCGATCAGCTTAAACTTCGACCTGCTTCAAGTTGTCCTGTCTTTCTGTAAATTCCAATTTTACATGCTTTTTCTCTGGATCTGGTTACTGTTTTTCACTAAAATGCTCTGTCTTTACTTAAGCAAGCATCTGACAGTTTATTTCTTACCTTTTGTCTGTCCTACGCATGGTTCAGCTCAAGATAAGATTTCCGATTTCGAGATGAAATTGATGGACATCGACAGTGAGCATCTTGGAATTCCAGATGCGGAGTACCATGCTATTGTTAGGATGCCTTCTGCTGAGTTCGCTAGAATATGCAAAGATCTCAGCAGCATTGGTGATACTGGTATGTTTTGATATCTTTCGATGGTTCATTAATTATTTTATATGATTAATTCTTGTCTTATAAGTACTTAATTACGTTCACCAATTTTTTGCAGTTGTGATTTCTGTCACAAAGGAAGGTGTCAAGTTCTCAACAAGAGGTGATATTGGATCTGCCAATGTTGTTTGCAGGCAGAATACCACTGTAGACAAGGTCAGCATGTCTCTTAATGTTATAGGGTTCCAAATTTGTTCACTGAATCTGTTTTTGAATTCCAAATATTGATTTACCCCCGTTATTTGGTCAATTCAATGCAGCCTGAAGAAGCAACAGTCATAGAGATGAACGAGCCAGTTTCCTTGACATTTGCTCTTAGGTATATGAACTCGTTCACTAAGGCAACCCCTCTTTCTAACACCGTCACCATCAGCTTGTCTTCCGACCTACCTGTCGTCGTTGAGTACAAAATAGCAGAGATGGGATATGTTAGGTTTTACTTAGCTCCCAAAATAGAAGAAGATGAGGATGAGACCAAGCCTTAGGTCTAATAGTAGAGTTACCATTTGTTTCTAAATCATTTTAGGATGTGTTTGAACTTTTCTTTTCTGTACTATAGCAGCTATGAGTTGTGATTTAGGAGTTTCTTAACGTCCAGTATCTACTTCTCTGTTTATGAGCTTCAAATTCTGATTTTTCCTCGTATCTTGTCATCATTTGATTTTAAGGTAGGAGATATTTGAGGGACTGAGATTGAATGTTTTGGGGAAAATAGGAGTAGGATATTTTACAAAATTATTAGTTAAGCAAAATTACCCAACAGAAAAAAGAGTAGGATTGAAGGTAATTCATGAGGAAGCTATGAAAATATGAGCATCCAATGGCTTCCAAGTGTTACTGTTTTCTCATATAAGTTATGAGTTGAGGTGTGAGGAGGTTGGTGGTGATCCTTTTCATTGTTCTTCATCGATATGTTAATACTTCGCAACTGAAATCCAATGAAATTGACAGGAAAAGGAAATACAGGGACTTTCCTAGACTTAATAGTTTGTTTATAAAAGCTTAGATTAGCATATAATTATTGTAATGAGCATATTTGAGCGATAATTGATATATGTTGAGCTTAGGATGTGCTAAGTAACAAATGGGTTGTTGGATCCAAATATACAAATAAAGTTTTAATTTTGCGTGATTGAACTTGTGACCTTCAATTTGTGATATTTTACGTTTGTGTTTGTCTTTTGTTCTTGTGTGAAAATCTTTGTCTTTCGATCTTGTCTCAATAAATAAGCATTTTAAACATCTTCTAGGTTAGACAGTTACATTATTAATTATTTTTAGTAAAAGAGAATGGCAAATTTTTAAAAATATTTTTTAACAATTTGAAAAAAAAAAAATATATATATTAACAAAAGAAATGCCCAAAAATTTCCCATTTTGACTTTGCCCAAAGCCGCGGGGGAGCAGCGAAATAGCAAAGCTAGAGAGAGAGAGAGAGAGAGAGAGAGAGAGAGAGCGAGACTCCAATGTCTGTCGCCAACAGAAGTGCGATCGGTGGAGCCCTACATTTCTCCCGCTTATCTTCTACCTTTATCAGAAGCTTCACCACCTCTTCGCCGTCTACCTCCACTCCGAACCCCAATGCCCCGACTGTTTGACTAAAATCAAGCGGAGGAAGAAGAACCTGTTCGAAGTAGTTCAGTTTTTGCCCAATTGGGGAGTAGGATACCATGTCGCCAAGGCTCATTGGGATGAAATATCATACCAGATCACCAAAATAAATCTGTACAAGGTATGCAGAATAGAATTTGAATTGGTTTCAAATTCAAATTCATTCACAAAAATCTCAACCGACTACGGAATCACCCTAGAAAATCTCAACCCACTCTGGAATCCCCTATAAAAGGACCTCCCTCCCCATCATTCAAATCACTCCTCCTCTCAATCTCACTTTAGTTTTCTGTTGTCACCAACANGATAATATGTCAACTATTAAGTTGTCTAAAAATCCTGTGTTGCATGGAAGGAGCAAGCACATCGATGTTCGATTTCATTTCTTGCGTGATTTGTGTAAAGAAGGCATTATTGAACTCAACTTTTGCCGAAGTGATGAACAAATCGCAGACCTATTCACAAAGCCCTTGAAACAACCATTGTTCGAGAAGCTCAGAAGAAAGATGGGGATATGCAGAATCCAAGATGTATATCAAGAAGATGAAATGAAGTCCTAAACTGATTTCGCAGAATTCAGTTTAAGGGAGGGTGTTGAAACTAATAATAGCTAATAATAGAATAGAATTTGAATTGGTTTCAAATTCAAATTCATTCACAAAAATCTCAACCGACTACGGAATCACCCTAGAAAATCTCAACCCACTCTGGAATCCCCTATAAAAGGACCTCCCTCCCCATCATTCAAATCACTCCTCCTCTCAATCTCACTTTAGTTTTCTGTTGTCACCAACATTGGGGAGTAGGATACCATGTCGCCAAGGCTCATTGGGATGAAATATCGTACCAGATCACCAAAATAAATCTGTACAAGGTATGCAGAATAGAATTTGAATTGGTTTCAAATTCAAATTCATTCACAAAAATCTCAACCGACTACGGAATCACCCTAGAAAATCTCAACCCACTCTGGAATCCCCTATAAAAGGACCTCCCTCCCCATCATTCAAATCACTCCTCCTCTCAATCTCACTTTAGTTTTCTGTTGTCACCAACAACTGGTATCAGAGCAATCTTGCAGCAGCAAAAAAATGGCAGCAGAAAAACAAGTTGAGAACTACGTTCAGCCCGCCATCCCGAGGTTCGACGGTCACTATGATCATTGGGCGATGTTGATGGAAAATTTTCTCAGATCAAAGGAGTTCTTTGATATGGTGGAAACAGGTTATGAAGAGCCAAATGAAGGCGAGGTACTCTCAGCTGATCGACAGCAACTGTTGGCAGCATCGAAGTTGAAGGACCTGAAGGTCAAGAACTATTTATTCCAGTCCATTGATAGGACTATCTTGGAAACAATGCTTCAGAAGAAGACATCCAAAGAAATTTGGGACTCTATGAGGAGGAAGTATCAAGGCTCAACGAGAGTAAAACGTGCTCAACTACAGGCAGTTAGAAGAGACTTTGAAATTCTCCAAATGCAAAAGGGAGAAACAGTGAATGATTATATTGGTAAGGTTATAAGTCTTGCAAGTAAAATGAGGATGCATGGCGGTTCAATCACAGATGTTGCGGTCGTAGAAAAGATTTTGCGATCATTAACACCAAAGTTCGATTACATTGTATGTTCTATCGAAGAAGCAAACAATGTCGAGGAAATGCAAATAGATGAACTCCAAAGCTCCCTGTTAGTACATGAGCAGAGGCTCAATCGTACAAGTGCAATAGAGGAGATGACAGCCTTAAAGATATCCACACCAAGTGAAACTTCAAGCTCTAGAGGTAGAGGGCAAAGAAGAGGCAGAGGTCGTGAGAGAGGCAGTCGAGAAAGAAGTGGAGATGTTGGCAGGTCAGCAGACCTAGTCAGAAACGATTATGACAACAAAGGCAAAAGACACTTTGACAAGTCTAAGGTGGAATGTTACAGATGTGGACGCCTTGGACATTACAAAAATGAATGCTATACCAGGCTCCAAAAGGAGAAAAGAAATCAATCCAATTTTATGGAGAGAAGAGAAGAAGAAACATTATTAATGTCATTTCATGCTATGAAGGTTGCAGATCAAGGTGTATGGGTCGTAGACTCTGGATGCAGCAATCATATGACAGGTTGTAAGGAATTCTTCTCAACTTTAGATGAAAATTTTCATACTACGGTCTCTCTTGGCAACAATTCATCTCTCCAAGTGATGGGAAAAGGAACCATAGATATCAAGACTAGAAATGGCTTTGTAGAGTCTATTTCTAATGTATTCTACATTCCTGATCTGAAGGCCAACTTACTTAGTATCGGTCAGTTACAAGAAAAGGGGTATGTGATCACATTCCAAAATGATGAATGTGAAATTTATGACTCCAAAAGAGGATCAATTGCTAAGATGAAGATGACCACCAACCGTCTATATCCGTTGACGTTAAATATCGTTGCCAAAAGTTTGATGGTGAAGAAAGAAGATACCACTTGGCTTTGGCATTTTAGGTATGGTCATCTACACTTCAAAGGATTAAAGACGTTGTCCTCAAAAAAGATGGTAACTGGGTTGCCAGATATTACTCCACCAACGGAAATTTGCGAGAGCTGTGTAGTAGCAAAACATGAAAGAAACTCTTTTCCATCTGGAAAATCAAGAAGAGCTCAAGCAATTTTGGAGTTGATTCATTCAGACATATGTGGTCCCATCTCTCCTGCATCAAATGGCAACAAGAAATATTTCATGACCCTCATCGATGATTTTAGTCGAAAAACATGGACTTATTTCTTGCACGCCAAATCAGAAGCCTTTGACTGCTTCAAAAAATTTTGTGCTACTATTAAAACCGAAACTGGAAGAAGAGTCAAGGTTTTAAGAACTGACAGAGGTGGAGAATTCTGCTCGAAAGAGTTTATTCAATTTTGTGAAGAGAAGGGCATACGGAGGCAATTAACAACAGCATATACACCACAACAAAATGGTGTGGCCGAAAGGAAAAACAGGACCATTCTAAACATGGTTCGAAGTTTACTAAATAAAGGAGAAGTCCCGAAGGAATTCTGGCCAGAAGCTGTTGTGTGGTCCGTTCACATTCTCAATCGGAGCCCTACCTTTTCTGTTAGAGACATGACTCCACAAGAAGCATGGAGCGGAAGAA